ACTCACGATCTTCAACTGACTTCGGTGAAAGACCAGCTGAAAGCTTCAAATGGGCTCCCAAAGGTACACCAACTGGCTTCGTATCCATGCTAACATGGAATCCCTGTAGAACCTTCTTCAAATAAGCCACCTGTGTCAAACAAATTCTGCCCTTCTTCTTGTCTCTGCCGATCTCCATCCCTAGAATGCGCTTCGCCTCACCCAAGTCTTTCATCTCAAACTCATTTGATAGCTGAACTTTCAATTCATCTATAGCCGACCTGGAAATAGAGGCAACCAACATGTCATCGACATAGAGCAACAAATAAATGTACGCACCTCCTTTCAACTTGCAAAAATATACGCAAGGATCAAACTGGCTCCGAGTGTACGAATGACCAATCATAAAACCATCGAATCGCCTATACCACTGTCGAGGAGACTGCTTCAAACCGTATAGCGATTTCTTCAGTTTGCAAACCAACTTATCTTTCCCTGCAGCTCGGAATCCCAATGGCTGAGTCATATATATTTCTTCATCAAGATCACCATGAAGAAATGCCGTCTTCACATCCAACTGATCTAACTCTAAACCATACTGTGCCACCAAAGCTAGCAAAATCCGAATCGAAGAATGCTTCACCACCGGAGAGAAAACCTCATTATAGTCAATACCTTCCTCCTGTGCATAGCCCTTCGCAACCAACCTAGCCTTGAATCTCAACGGAGTGCCTTCAATGCCCTCCTTCTTCGTGTATACCCACGTGCTGGCATCTGTATGTTTCTCCTCTGTCTTCGAACCGCAATAGGATCCTGAACCTGAGCCGTCGGTTTCTGATCATGCACATTAGTACCCGTATCCTCCGTATCACCGTCGTGCTCGCCTGGCGTCACCTCAGTCGGCACTCTAATGGATACTCACCGTCGTGCTCGCCTGGCGTCACCTCAGTCGGCACTCTAATGGATACTGTACCATCTGGACAATGTAGAGCTGCATCGATCTCCATCACCTGCGATATCTCCTCTGTCGGGTCGCTCTCCACCTGATGAGAGCTGAGAAGCTTCAAGATAGAAGCCCATGTGCTGGCTTTCCCGACCACATCTCCATAGGGGTTTTCCCCTCAATCGCAGATGAAGGCAGCCTATTAATAAGGTGGCTCGCATATGTAAGTGCCTCAGCCCAAAAGATCTTCTCCAAACCACTCTGCGATAATAAGCATCGGATCTTCTCTAGTAAAGACCGATTCAACCTCTCTGCCATCCCATTTTGCTGCGGTGTATGACTAACTGTGAAGTGCCTCTCTATGCCCTCGTCTCGACATAGCTGCAGAAAGGGGTCTGATGTGTACTCACCACCGTTGTCGGATCACAACGTCTTGATCTTTCTCCCAGTCTGCAGTTCTAATCTCTTTTTCCACTCCACAAACAAATCTAGGACTTCACTCTTATGCTTCATGGTGTACACCCAACAACGCCTAGAATAGTCATCTACAAAAGTGACGAACCAATGTCTACCACCAAGTGATGCAGTCTTGGTGGGACCCCAAACGTCTGTGTGCACGTAATCTAGGATGCCCCTCGTCTGATGAATGGCAGTCCCGAACTTCACCTTCGTCTTCTTGCCAAGAACACAGTGCTCACAGAACTCAATCTTCCCACTCTTGGCTCCCTTCAATAGCCTCTGCTTGCACAATGTCTGCAGTGACTTTTCACCTGTGTGTCCCAATCTATAGTGCCAAAGTCTGCTCATGTCCGCTTCTAAAATAGCCGAAGCAACCTGGCCAATATCGGTGCTTCCCTTCAGATAATACAAATTCTGATTGCGGACTCCCCTCATCACCACCAATGATCCCTTAGTAACCTTCGCTACAGCGTTTTCAAAAGTCACCTTGAATCCCTTCGCCTCCAAAGCTCCAACTGAGATAAGATTTTTCTTCAGTTGAGGAACAAATCTCACCTCCTTCAACTCACGGACTACTCCATCGTGCATCCTAATCCGTACGGTACCTATCCCACAAACGCCACAGGATTGATCATTTCCCATGACAACAACGCCCCCGTCGACTTTCTCAAAAGATGCAAACCAGTCTCGCCTAGGGGTCACATGAAAGGTAGCGCCGGAATCAAGCATCCAATCTGATGCATCCACATGGTTCACCTCCGGAGTAATCAGTAGAGAAAAGCACGAATCATCGGAATCATCGCCTTTCGCAATGTTCACCTCATTGGCCTTCGGGCCCTTTTTCTTGCTATTCTCCTTCTCTTTGAGCTTCGGGCAGTCTCTCTTCCAATGTCCCTGCTCCTTGCAGAATGCACATTGGTTCTTTGTTAATTGGTGGCGGCCTCTAGACTTTGACCTCCCTCTGTTACCACCTTTCGGATATGGGCTTCTACCTCTCGTCGACAAGGCCTCGCCTGAAGTGCTAGCACGGGAAGTCTCCTTGTCCTTCCTCCTCAAATCGTAGTTCGTCAAACCGTTAGTCACTTCACTATAGCTGATAGAAGATCTCCCGTTCAACAAAGTGAGCATGAATGTATCATACTCCTCATCCGGTAAGGAGCCCAACAAAATAATCGCCTTGTACTCATCTGATATCTTCTCATCAACATTCGCCAAGTCCGACAACAACTTCGTATAGTTGTTCACATGAGCCGCAAGCGAGGTGCCTCTGGACATCTGGAATCTGAATAACCTACGCAGCAAGTGCAATCGGTTCTCAACACTCTTCGTAAGGTACTTATTGTTGAGAATTTCCCACATCTTCATCGCAGACGTCACCCCAATCACATCATACTTCAGCTCCTGTTCCAAACAGGACCTGATCACCCCACAAGCGTTCCTATTCATTTTCTCCCATACCGCCTCTTCATATTTAGGTGGCCTCTCGTGGACCATGATGGTCTCTTCCAAATTCTGAGCATTTAACGCATCCTGTACGTCGCTCATCCACAAACCAAAGTTGATTTTTCCGTCATACTTCACCACACTAATTTTAGTATTCTGAAAACCAACTTGTATTGTACCCGCCATCGATTTGCTGCTTTCACCTTCTTCTCCCATTGCAAACTAACTCCAAATTGTAGAGAAAGAACAAATTTGATAAAAATTAGGAACCACTCAACTGAACCCTTGATCGGATTCCAAATAGATCTCCTATCCACACGAGGAAATCGAAATCTCCAACGGCAACTCCTAATGTTATCTCCACCGAAGCCTAGAACTCCAAGAACCAAGCTTCACACAAAATCTTCCTCCACCAAAAAACCCTATATCTGAAATTTGGGCTCTGATACCACTTGTTGCGCGCAGCGGAAATTTCGACAGCACTTCGGCAGCACAACAAGAGAGTCAGGTCGCAATAAGAATTCTTATTTCTCAAAGGGAACAAGAATCTGAAGCTTAATATCCCATCAAAGTGAGATATTTGATCTTCCTCTCGTCAGCTCTAGGACTGCGCGTCGAGGGAACCTAAAATCTATTACAAATCACACAAATAGCAGTACAACCAATTTTACGTGGTTCGGCAAATTGCCTACGTCCACGGGGTAAGGAGGGGGAGAGATCCACTAATAGAGGGAGAGAATACAACTAGGGTTTACAATCACTCACAATCCAAACCCTCAAACAAACTCTCTCAAATCCCTCAGAAACTCTCTCTACAAAAGGATGCACAAAATCCTCAATAAATGGGGCTGCTCAAAACCAAAAACTCCTGCTGCGAATTTTCCCGCAGCCGCAAAACTCCCAACCTGCAGCCGCCAAATTCCGTGCTCTTTGCTCTCTGCCGCAGCCGCAAAAGAACAACCAATTACCTTGCACCGAAAAAACCTAGGCTAAACACACTGTTGATTTATAAAGCTCAACTTGGGCTTCGGGTACGCGAAACGAAATCAAAAAATGCCTTGTACCCGAACGAAATCAAAGATGTGAACTTCACGTTCACGTGGTGTGGCCCCCACGAAACCACAGACGCAACGTACATGAGAAAGCTTTGACCGTAATATCGAGCCTCAACTGTCTTATCACAGCCAACTTATAGTAGTCAGTTTTCTGATGAGCATCTCTAGTTGGCCGCACAGTGTAAAAATCCCACCATTAATATAAAAAGGAGATGAATAATGCAGCAAGAAGGAGCACATAAGTTTGAAGAATCTAGATCAAGAATAATGTGTTCATGAGCAACTTTGGTTGACTCTTAACGAGGAGGCTCCGTACTTGATAGTGCTGAATTAATTTGATGAGCAACAAACCTCAGGAAAGAAGTCCTTAATTGCATATTTTACTACTTATTTAAATATTTCCATGGAAGAAAAACCACTTAGTTTCTAGTGGATACAAGTTTTATCAGAACACCCCAGCGGAGCATTCTAAGCAATATATAGAAAGCAATACATAGAGGCAAGTAGGGGCGATTTGAAGATTTTATTGCCCCTGTATGACTCACTACTCTGCTTGCATGTGAGGTGTCTTGATAGAATGTATATTTGCATCAACAACGTGAGGAATTGTGCTCTTACTTTTACTGTTCACTAAGCGTGTAAAATTATCTCCAAGCCTTTTCTAGTATAGGAGCCTTAGAATATGAAGGAACCTTATATGTTATATGTTAAAGAGTATTAGACAACGATTCATTATATGGGGGAAAATGAGGTAACGTACATGATACGTTATAAGAAACTTGCCCCCGTTGAAGTCATCTCTCATAACTATCAGTGTTTAACATAAATACATGATTAATTAATTAGAGCTGGTACCTGTGACGTTAAAAGAAAACACTTTACAATTGAATGTAAGTAGATAATGAATGAATATTGTAGGTGCTGCTCATAAGCAAAGTATTTCCCTCCGCTTAAAAGGGAAAATACATATCCAACTTAACGCTCAACCTCTCGCCAGAAAAAAGAAACAAGGAAACTAGCATCACATCATTAAATTCAAATTTCCGTAATTTAGGATTGCTGATAATTAAGCACATAATCCAAAATTCTAAAACGATGATAGTAATTAGAAGAAACGTGCGTGTTTTATATCCTTAGCTGCAATTTCTTCTATTAAGGAATAAAGTTGATACATTAACCCATAATCAAACGCACACAGAACGCAACCAAACCCAATCAAACCATCCTAAGGTATATATGCAACAAACTACAAATACTTAGTTTTAGCAAATCCAAAACAAAAGATTTAAGAGCATAAGAGAAAAGAGTGACGACTACATGACACAAAATCACCAAGCAAACAAGCACGCACTAACTAGAGCAACATCCAACTCTCTTGAGAGCAGAAACATCATCTTTAACATTGATCTTCTCCCCCTTAGCAGGAACAGCAGAAGCCGCATCATCACCAGCTTCCACCGCCTTCTTGCTTACAATCCTATAAATCTGAGTCAAAACCTCCGAAAAGGCATTCTCGACATTTGTAGCTTCAAGAGCCGATGTCTCCATAAAATAGAGTGATTCTTTCTCAGCCAAAGATTTGCCATCTTCGGTTGATACTGCGACAAGGTGGCGGAGGTCCGATTTGTTACCGATGAGCATGACGACTATGTTCGGGTCTGTGTGGTCCCTTAGTTCTTTTAGCCATCTCTCAGCGTTCTCGAATGTGGAGTGGCGAGTGACGTCGTAGACAAGTAATGCTCCTACAGCGCCTCGATAGTAGGCACTGGTTATGGCTCGGTACCTGACATTGGGAAGAAGTGACTATTAAGCTTCCAAGAAAAGGGATCAGAATTGTAAATAGATACTGGATGATAAAGGGTAAATTTCACTAAAGCCCCAGTAAATTCGGCATTTAACCCCGAAGAAGTATGAAACTTTCACTTAAGCCCCATTAAGTTTGGGAATTCCAGAAAACTTCCAAAACTTTTTGATTTTTTTCACTTAACCCCAATAATAGAGTAAGCCAGTATTTTTGGGTTCCCAAACAGTGAATAACACATAAACGCCATATAGAAGTCCAACTTCTTGATATACAGTATAAATCAAGATCCAAGTGAAACCAAACCCTAATTTAGAAGGTTGATTGCAGATACACCACGTATACACTTATAAACAAAACAAGATCCAAGTGTAACCAAACCATAATTTATAGGGTTAATTGCAGATACACCACTTATACACTTATAAAACAAGATTCAAGTGTAACAAAGACATAATTTGTACACTATTTATACACTATGAGAGTGTCCGGCTGTCTGCCATTTATACCCTCTAAACTATATTTTATTGCCACTTACAACCCTCCCCACCCAACCCCCCACTCCCACACTATGAGAGTGTCCGGCCGTCTGCCATTTATACCCTCTAAACNCCCCCCCCCAAAAAAAAAAAAAAAAAACCCAAAAAAACCTTCACTCCAAAAGAAGAAGAAAAATACTCCAGACAGTATTATTCTCACGTTTGGTTGAGATCTCATGTGGAATCATGTGATAAATTACCTTTTTGCCCCCAATTAAGTGGAAAAAAGATTAAAAATTACCCTCTAAATTGAGGGGGAAAGTGTGACGCCATTGCCGTACCATGGGGTAAATGCTAATAAACAGTTTGATAAAGTGGAAGAATATCACAGTACAGGGATGTATCTGTAATTAACCTTAATTAATAATGCTCAGTAGTTTGTTCAAGTGTTTTTCAATAGAAGTTCTTCCTAAATTTCCATTACAGAATCCAAAAATAACCTGACCATGATTGCAATTATAGTATTTCAAGTTTAACGCTATATGATGATCAACTGCCCCCGATAAGATAGCTGAATTATAGGAATTATTGAATTTAAATCAATTCATGTATTCATTCATAATGCCCATACGTGCAATACTGATTCAAATTCAGATTAGAATTTTAAAATTACAAATTTGAACTGCTAGATGTGAACTTCTACAAGTCAACTAGCTAGAAACCAGACCTTGAATGGTTTCAACTTGTTTTAACCATAAATCATATATTCTTAAAATCAACTTTTCAATTTTTTATGAAATGATTATTTTTCCCACTTGATACATGATTAAAAACATGTTGAAACCTTTGTGAATTTTGTTTCTATGTAGCCCATATGAATTAAAGCCCATCCAATGGTAGGAATTTGTAATTTTAAAATCAAAGTTCTAAATCTGAATCAGTAGTACTGTATCTAAAATACTATCAACAATAGCCTAGTCAAACCCTATATGTGCGTGTGAAACTATAGCATCTTGTGTATAAACATTTAAGGTTAAACGACAAGCTAACAAGTTATATTTCATTAGAAAATACTGCACAGAATAAATACTTTATGACAAGATATTCTTTAAATAATAAAAAAAGAAACAAGATATGAACAAGCTGTCTTAATTTACAGTAATAACTACTACTGCATTTGATGATGGCCTATGCCAAAAGGCACTAAATTCTATAAGCTTGCATTAACATAATTATCAACACTCGGCCTTACATCGTCCATTACACGAACCTAGACCTTCAGGTTTTAACATTGCTTAGAAAGACATAATAATTTGGTGTAATAAATATAATTTCCAATTTAACAATATTGACACTTGAACCCAAGACCTCAAGTAGACTATATTGAGGATTAACCACGAACTTTTGAAACTTGATGCCCTAATATCATGTCAAAAATCACAACATTCAAAAGTTTTAAACTAACATAGTTCTCACAACTTCGAAAGATATTTCTTCAAACATTTCAATTCCCCAAAATGGCAGATATTGGCAGTTTTTACGTGCATTATTAGTTATTCACCTTTAGCTGTATGAATAGGGAGAGTTTCTGATCAGAGTAAAGAACAAGGTAATATCTCGACATGATCATGGTTGGACATAACATAGCATCAAAAGAAACTTTCTCCTCTTTCTCTTTTTTGACAAACAAAAATAAGAAGATTCAAGGAAGGACTAACCAATAACCCAGTGTGTTGAGATTTAACAACCACCACAACATTAACTATACTAACCCTAATTCCCTAAAGTAGATTGCCCTAAGTATGCACTAATTACAAATTACACATAGATTGCAGCAGGTTATGGGAGACCTTGTGGATGAGGCTCAGTCTGCATTTGTTCAAAGCAGATTGATTTACAGCAACAAGTTAGTGGGCCATGACTTAGTCAAACATTATGATGAAGCATATTAACCCAAGATGTGTGATAAATATTGATAATCGAGCAAGGAGACTCTCTTGTTGTGTATGGAATACCTAACAATATTAAGTATGTTGAGGAATGAAAAGATCTTTCACTATCATGGTCTAGGTTGGAAACTACTCACCTCAAATCAGCTGATGACCTTTTGTTATCACGTCTACTAGCAAATCCAAATAAATATTCTATATAATTTGGCAGGGTTGATGATGATGCAAAAGTGCATATTCTCCATGAACTTGGATATAAAGAAGGAAGCTTCCCCATCAAATATTTAGGATTGCCTAAGGCTCTCCATATCTAATAACAGTATTCTAATTAAAAAGATCAATCAGAAGATTCAAGTTTGGCAAGATAAACATTTATCTTTTGCAGGGAGATAACATCTAACTAAGAGTGTATTTTTGGGGTGCAACTCTTTTGGTCCATAACAATATTCTTTCTCTTAAAAGTGCTAAAACAGGTGGATGCTATTTGAAGAAATTATCTATGGGGATCCTCACATGACTCTCCAAGAATTTCTTTAGTTGCTTGGGATAAAATTTGTCAAAAATATAGTGGGGGAGTTCTCTGCAACTATGTGGAGTAAACCAGCTGCAATGAAGCTCCTATGGACTATTCATGTTAAAGAAGACTGGCTTTGAATTAGGAGGATACATGACAAAATCTTTGGAATGTTCAACCAAAGGTGGGTGACCCATGGCTATGGAAGCAACTTCTGAAAGTAAGGGATCAGGCTTTGTGTATGTAGGGGTATATTGACGGGTTTCTTTCAAAAATGCAACACTGGGGTTCCTTTGGTAAGTTCAAAAGCTCAGGTGCTTATACTGATTTGTGTTTTGATCTTCCTCTAGCTGAATAGCATAAAACTGTGTGGGGGATTAAACAGAAATCCACGTCAGGTGGAAGAGAGAAATGTGAAATGTGCAAAAACACTCATTTTTCCTTTGGTTAGTGGCTAATCATAAGCCATTAATAGAAGATAGATTAAACAGAATGGGGATTTCTTTAGCAAACAGATGCTTAATATGTGCTGAAGCTAATGAAGACCATTACCACCTCTTCTTCTCATGTAGAATCTGCTGAGATATGGAAAAATATCATGAGTTGGCTAGGATTTAAAACTAGGAGTTGTGAATGGGAACCGGTGATGATTTGTTCTATTAGACATTTAAACAGGAGATCCTTTGCCATAGACGTTAATAGAGCTGCACTGGCAGTCACTGTCTATTACTTATGGCATGATAGATAATAGCAGACTGCATGGGAAGCGAGAATGATGTTTGGAAAGAATTATCAAATATGCAAAAAAATATGTTCTCACTACCAACCTCTATATTGCATAGTAATGTACCAGTGAGATATTAAGATTGAATTGAGAGCCTGTAAGCACATGGATTTGTAAACTCAGGTATGTCCGATGTGATACATGTATATAAAGGTGCTATGATATATAAAATTCATTAACCCAAAAAAATAAAAATAAAAATTAAGAATTTAGGGTTGGCTTAGGATGTTATCAAAGGCGAGCACCTAATGCGCCCTACGATTCGGGGCAGTGGCAAAGCTCCTCGTATATGATGTGACAGTGCCTTATTGCGCCTCGCAAGTGCTCCGATGAATGACGCATCATTCAGAGTGCATGCAAGGCATAGCCTCATTTATTTTTGTTCTCAATCGGATCTTTATACATAAAAATCCATACCCAGAAAAGAAAATTAAACTCATTAGGGGTTTTTATTAAATAGATTAAGGAGTCGAACTCATTCTCATTTAATATTTGATTTTACTTTGAGCCTTTGATAGCATTTTGAGTTGACTTTTGATTTGGAATTTAAGAAGTTTTACTACTATGTTAGGTATGCTAGCATTATGAATTAAGACCTTTTTTTATGTGGTAGTAGATATTATTTGTATTGACATATTGGTAGTAGATATTATTTGTATTGACACATTTTTTATGTGAAAATTCATAAAGGTTGTCATTCTTGATTATCTAGTCCTGTAAAATTATGTGGGGTGTGCGTCTCACTTAATTCTGGCGAGTGCATTGCTTTGTGCCTTGCGCATGCGCATGTAAATGGACTTCACATCCCGCATTGCGCATCACGCATTGATAACACAAGTTAGCTACGTGAAGCATTTTCTTCCATTAAATTAATAACTATTGCATCCTTTTTTCACAACCTTCATCTGATTCTGTGTAGATGTACTCCAATGACTATTACTTCACTAGAACAATCCTATCATTTCCTGTAACCACATGTATTATTGGCCTTTGTTATACAAACCCAAAGCCAAAATATCTTAAGTCACTTCTCCCTCTTATCCTGAATTAGAGTAACATCCACCCTTCTTACAAGTATACTCATTTCTTATCCCATCTCTCAGTATTTTGTACTCATCCATCCCAAGATTCTCTTTTTTCTATACCCATATTTTTTTTCATTTTATCACTTAATTAACCAGCATTATGATCTATGAAAACATTGTTGGCTTTATAATCATCCTACAATATTTTCATTTAAGTTCATAGGCATTCCC